CCTCTCTCTTGTCTTCTCCGAAGCGTAAGGGGCAGGTTAAGCGCCCTCGGGCAACGACCACGCCCTGTTTGCTACGAGCCGTTGGGAGGGAGTGATAAGTGTCGGTGGCTTGCTGGCTAAAACAGCAGGAATGAATTTATGTATGTATGTATGTATGTGTGAATATATATATATATATATATATATATATATCATATATACATATATATATATATATATATATATATATATCATATATATATACATATACATATATCATGTATACATATGTATATATATATATATATGTACATAATGTGTAGACATGTGGGTTTCAGCCGTCACCCTTTTTGTTGTATGACATGTTGGATCCGTCACGATTCATCAGAGCTTCCCTTGGAGTACATGCCCCGTATTCGGACGGACTAACATGGGGAAATAGTTGGTTTAACAATATTTTCCAGAAGATCCAGACAAAAAATTCATGTGAATGCTTGGGTCTTTGGCCGGCATCAGGAAGGAGATGCTTCGAGACAACAAGGGGTTGCCCTTGTCTCTCCCTCTATATAATATATATATATATATATATATCTCTCTCTCTCTCTCTCTCTCTGTCTCTCTCTCTCTCTCTCTGTCTCTCTTTGTCTCTCGCTCTCACTCTCTGTCTGTCTCTCTCTCTCTCTCTCTTCTTCAGCAGGGCGTGGGGAGTGTACGAGGCCCCCCGGCCACATGGGCCCCCCGTGTGTTATGGGGCTTGTGGAAAGGGCGTGAGAATCTACAACGAGTCCCCCTGATGACAGGTTAAGTTTGATTTATGCATACGAACGATCAAGGTTCCTCAGTTGCTATCCTGACACATGCACAGTTTGCAGTGTTTCCCGGCATCATCGAATATAAGCAGACAGACTGCTCTCTCTCTCTCTCTCTCTCTTTCTTTCGCCAGGCTTGAGGGGCGAACCCCCCGCTGGGGGCAGCCCGCTGTTGGCTGGACGCACTGTTTTAGTGCGATAGGCTAGGTTACACGGGTGGCACGGCAACACAACACCCAGAGGACGCATACATAGGTAAAGCCGCTAGTCATTCATGCCAATGCCATTGCTCACCCCGACTGTACTGGTTCCACCTCAGGCCACTTTCACAACTGCACAACACACGTGACGCCCCTAGCGATTAGGTTACATTGGTTGCCTGCTCTCTCTCTCTCGCTCTCTCTCTACGGGGCGTGAAGGGGCAGCAGCGTCCCGGCTACCCCTCCGTGCGCGAGCGCGCTCCCGCGGACCATTGGCGGGGTGTCCCTTCCCCTCAGAGATTTTCTCCTCGGGGCTCTGTCTGTATGAGGAGTAAAGTTTGCTGAATCCCCCACTGACGTGCTTTCGAAAACAAGCCAAGCAAGCCAAGCCTACATCCACCAACTGTGCTTGCACAACAGCGCCGGTCAGCCCTAGGAGTCAGGAGGAAAAACTTGCATGCCCCCACTTCTTCGAGCAGGAATACCTTGAAATACCCTGGAATGAACGAAATGAATTAAAGCCTCTCTCTCTCTCTCTCTCTGGTCAAACGTATCAAAAGTTCAGGGCTCCCTAACCGTTTCGGAGAGTCTGAGGATTCCAATCGAAAGACAGTTCGAACGTCCGGACTTGCGACGGAAACAGCGTTGAGGATTGGGAATGTATTGCTGCTACCGCAGGCATTTCAACCCGAGGCGCATCATCTGGGCTTTGTATCTTACAGACGTACATCCGTACATACCCACCTACCTGCCTACATGCGGCTTGCCTGCCACCCTGCCTCCGCCTGCCAATTTGCATACTTACCATGTATGTATGTATGTATGTATATATATATATATATATATACATAGATGTGCACATACATCATCTTGCGGACACAGCGAAACACTCCGACTCGCCGGCTGTGTAGGAAACGGTCGTTGTTTACTTGTCTGACTGTCTAGCTCAATACTGACTACTGTAAATCCGACTGATGCCCGGGTGCTCCCAACCTCGCCCAAGCAGAAAATTAGTCTTATATTAGGGCGCGGAGGGGGCGCGTTTTAATATTCGGTGGAAGGGATGACATCCGGTTAGGGAGGGGTGGTACTCTAGTGATCGACGCCTTGCGAGGACTTAACCTTTCGACGTGAACTAAACAAAACCGTCAGAAGCTGTCGCGATGTCCGGTCCGGCCTCAGAGGCGATCCCTGTGAACGCCTGTCCAGTGCCACCAGAACTTTAAGCAGTGATCGGCAGAATGACGCATTCTATTCTACCTGTGGATCAGCTGCGGCTGTGCCCATATGCTGGCATGATGCCATATCAAGGGATCTGCGAGGGAGGCAACATTATGGATCAAAGGACGTGCCGAAAGTTTCGAGGGATGCTGCTCAGCTGGATGAAGCATGCACACTGCAGATGGACTGATCAGAAGCACCTGAACAGAAGCACTGACGGCTCTGCCAAGGGCGCCCAAAAAGCCGGAGCGCTCCTGCTGGCATAGACGCACACCCACTGCTACATGCAGACAACATGCAAGGCTGGAGGACATTGGGCTTGTTCAAAGCAAGGTGTTCCTGCAAATTGTCGTAGTCAGGATGCATGAATAACGGTCTCTAGTTAAAAAAATCCCTCACCTGCTGTTCGGATTGCGGCGTGGAAGGCTTAACTTCCGTTTTCGAAGTTACAGTAGCGGACACATGAGGTTGCAGAGATCAGAGTGTGCGGCTGCGTGGGCGACTGCTTGCAGTCATGGGCAGTGGATTTGGTGCTGAGGCATGTGTCTGACAACCGCTTGTTGAAGTGTGATTTCCACTCAGATAAGACGTATATAGTCATATAGTAATTACTATGAACCAACACGGCTGGGCAAGCTCCGTGCCGAAACACAAACACACGTAAAGGCATGCACACACAGACACACACACACACACACAAACACACACACACACACACACACACACACACACACACGAACACACACACACACACACAAACACACACACACACACAAACACACACGCACAGACCCAGTCACACACTCGCACAAAAACACAAACACACACACACACACACACACACACGCACACACAGAGACAGACACAGAGACACATACGCGACAACGGTAATTAACTTCCGAGGGTCCTAATCCAAAGCACATCTCAGCGTAAACAAATTGAACCTCAGGAAAAAGAGCTCTGAGACACAAAGCGACAGGTCTTGACAATCCTCGTGCGCGCGCCTCGAGCCCGTGAGAGCAGGAAACACACACTGTAGAAATCTGTCGCACAGAATCTCTGAGACTAGGACTGAGAAGAGCTACAGTTTGCAATTTTTTGGCATCCCACAATGCTAGCCGACAGACTGAAACGCCCGAATACATACTTACATGCACACATTACCTGACACATCCGGGGCAAAACCCCGCACGGCAGGAGCATTCAATATCTGAGCTGGCGAGCTCCCCCGACCCGACGCAGAATCCTAAAACCCCGAAGCTTCAAACCCCCGCGTCCGATATGGCCGGTGGTGTGACGTCGGAGCTCGGAGCCCGTGGAGGCCGACTGCACGGCTTCTACGGGGAAATCGGCAGACTCAAACTGTCTACAGAACACATAACCGTAAACGTATACGTACGCACATGCACATTCTATGTGTGTGTGTATATAAAGAAATATATGTACATATGCACACACACATACCATGATGCTCCTAAAGCCTTGCTCTGTAAGGTTTTGGAGGGAGAAGACTCACTGGGGCATATTAAAGTTGTAATGCCTTGTTTCGCAAATAACGCATTAACGCTGGGATTGGGTTTCGGTGATGTTGGCCTAATTTTCCTCAGTTGCAAGATGAACGAACGAATGGCTTGATGATTGAAAGTCGCTACCCGATCAACATAATACATCATCCTAGCACTGCTAACTCTAATTTATGAGCCGACCGCCTCAAACTGTTGCCAAGCCAAGCCTCGCGTATAGCCACGAGAATCTCGAGTAACACAGCCCGAGGATGATCACCATCCAGTACATATATCACGACACGAAAATACATGTACACACTGGGTTTTGTAGTTGTAACATATGTATATATATATATATATATACATATGTTACAACTACAAAACCCAGTGTGTACATGTATATATGAACCTTAAACGCCCTACCCTAGCTAAACCGCTATATTAAAACCCCTAGCTAAATTACCCTAATCCCTAGCTAATCCCTGAAACCCTAGCTAGCTAAAACCGAAAACCTAAGCCCTAGCAAAACCCCAATCTCTAGCGTTAAGCCCTAAAAAAAAACCCTAGGTGAACCCTACACCTTCACCCCGAGATAACCCTTCAACCCCAGCGAAACCCTGAAACCTAAACCCTAGCTAAACCCTAAACCTCAGCTAGACCCTACAACCGCAGCACTAGCTAAACCCTAAACCCCAGGTAAACCTTAAAACCTAAACCCTAGCAGCAATTGCCCGCCATGTTTGCTTCGGCACACCGGGCAGTTGATCAAGGCCGGATCCGGACGGATGCAAGTGCACCAGCTTTCTCAATCCAACCACTTAGGCCTAACATCAGGTTAGCTTATTGTTTTCCCCATACCCCATAGGCCTAAGACGGAAAATCGAGCTGTAGCTAGGGCATCTAGGGGTCGCAAGTTAGGGGTATTGAGCCCCCGATTGACACTCTCAGTTGGCACAGCTAGCTGGAAAAGCACTAATTAAGACCTCTGAAGATATGCTTCACTCGAGCTCATCATCGGATGCAAAGTTGTTTGCCCGCGAGAACTCCAGCCTCGGATACTATAGCAGATTCACAGGGCATATGTAGTGCACAGCAGTGCACTGGACCAGACACAATATATGAAATAATAATGACCACGGCACCAGCTGTAGTACCTCCTGAGAACCGCAGCCTCCATATTTCGGGCACTGGTGCATTTGGCAACTCCTGGGCTGGAACATGATGAGTTCCAGGGCGTTACAGGGACTAGTGTTCAAATGTAGCTATAGCATATGCAGACAGGTTGCTGACGATTCTGCCGTTCAAGTCCTCATCCTTGAAGGTATGGTAGCTCCGGGGGTTGACTCCTGGGTTGCAACTGTACAAGGATTGCACACAAGTTTTAATCAGTTGCATATTCTGGCTAGCCAGTATTATGATGAATGCAGCAGTGGGACGGTCAACCGCAGTCCAGTAGGCCAGCTCCTGCATGGCCTCGGATGTTTATAACTTGGCATGTTGAATCCCAATATTTTCCCAAATCCACATGATAGGCCAAGCTACGTGCAGCTTCGGCTTCAAAGGGAACATCATGATCTTTGCCCCGACCATTCGCTTCGCCATCCGAACGTAGCTCGTAGTGGAGAAATCCTGGGATCGAGATTATTAAAAAGAACATACATCATTGCAAGCTGGGATCTGTATATATATCCTAGTGGCAATAAGCTGCTTCATCCGGTCTGCCGCATCCTGTTGCAGGAACCTTGGTTCTCGCTCCATTTTGTTGAAGAGCTCGGCCAGGTGGTACCTGAGCGTGTTTAAAGCTTCAGGTTAGGGTCTAGGGATTTAAGATCATAGATCACGTTCCATCCATAGCGATACGAGGTTGCACGAGTTATGTTGTAAAGCCAATATTAATTGTAGCTGGTCACACACAGCTGGCCAGCAGTCGCATCTCTGGGTCCTCCTCTAGCTCATGTAGGAGATGCAACATCGTATCGGACAGCCAGGCGATAATGCACCTCGCCTTAGATCTAGTTAGAGATTGTACCAGGCCATATTCCTAGCCTAAGATTCTTCTGTATAACATAAGCCATGCAGCATTCTAGCCCTTAGCGGCCATTGCATGAAAGTCTTCTCCCCCTCCCTTGAAAAAGGTCGCTCTGAAGGGCGGCTGAGAATGCCTGTTCTGTTATCCAATTGCATTAAATACACCAGTATCACTAGCTAGAACCCCTAGAACTAATATTAATTCCTATGGTGTAATAAAATAGATCTATGCCAACTGAGCAACTGGATTCCCCTGGCCCGCGCCCAAGATGCGAAGTCTTGAAAAGCACGTAGAAGCCGATCACCCAGGGATAGACCGTGCCCACCCCACAAGAAGGGCAACTCCTCCTCTTAATAGGGCTATATATCATTGTAATGTGGTATACATATATATATATATATATATGTGGCATGGACCTTTAGGGTCTATTTGGCAATCCTGCTGGGCTTTGTATTTAAACTGCAACAACACCACGGCGACAAGGACGACGACGACTCGGTTTAGCACGACGACGACTGGGTTCAACACGGCGACGACAAGGTCTGGCACGACGGTTACATCAGGAGGCCGAAGCGTGTACAGTGCAAAGGTCTCGACAGGAGTTTAAGGGTCTAGGGTCTTAGCTCCTAACTATGGTTTACCGGGGTCAGTATACTATGGAAGATCTAAGGTTTGGAGTTTATGAGGATTTAGATGGTTTTACGCTCTCACAAGTTCTCCGTGCTGGTTTTAGGTCTATCACAGTCTATCACAATGTCCTCCCATCCCTCTCGCGCCGGGAACCATCAAGAATCTGTCTTGTGTATTTCTCGTCCTGTGTCTTTCTCTCATTCCCGTTCCTCTTCCTGCCTATCCACTCTGCCGTTTGTCAAGAAGACACAGAAATTGAAGTCATGACAGAGGAATAGGCATGAAGATGGACGAAGTGAACTCTTCATTCTCTCGTCTCTCCCTTCTCTCCTTCCTTTGATTGAGCCTTTTTCTGTTTCTTTTCTTGTCGCCTTCTGCTGTCAATGACAGGGGTAACACGAGGGAGGGGCAAAGGGACGACGTCAGTTCCTCTCGACGTGGTTCGATTTTTCATTTCCTCTCGCGTTGTCTCTCTTCCGCCCCTCTCTCTCTCTCTCTCTCTCTCTCTTTTTCTCGCTCTGTCTTCCTCTCTGCCGTGTCTCGCTCTCTCATCTCTTCTGTCCCCTCTTTCCTTGCTCCCTTGCTGGAAGGAATAGAAAACAGAAGCGAAGACATAAGATGGAGGAAGATGGCTGGGAGAAGGAAGGTGGATTCCTCCCTCCGTCGGCTCTTTGACTTTCTTTGCCCTTGCCTTCTTTTCTCTGCTCCTATCCTTCTTCACAATTAGAAAGAGAAGCGACAAGAACGGAGAGCTCAGGGAGAGCAAGTGACACTGTTCCTCATAATCTCCTCCTTCATCGTGTTCATTGCGTTGTCCATCTCCCCCTCTCTCTCTCTCTCTCTTTCTCTCTCTCTCTCTCTCTCGCTCTCTCTCTCTCCCTCCATCCTTTCCTCTCTACTTCTGCACATTTACTTTTCCACTTCTCTCGCCTACTACATTATGCTTGATTTGATACTTATATTCAACTTTCTCTCACTCTCTTTGTCCCATCGCTTGCCCTGTTCCTTCTCCTCCTCCCTTCCCTGCCTCCCGTCCTTCTCCCCTTATCACTCAGAAGGCAGAAGGAAGACTCACAAGGAGAAAGACAAGGGAGTAAGAAAACAGACAAAAGAAACGGAGAGAGAGCCATAAGGGACGAAATACAGAAACAAAGAGAGAAAATATGGGGGAAAGATAACCAAAAAGAGAGACAGAAAGAGGAGGCGATGCATAAAGCAGCCGACAGTGCCTTGACCTCCACGTCTATTCATTCTTTGTTCTTGTCCTATCACACTGTCTCATTGGTGATAAACCAGGAAGAGCTTGTGGAGGGAGACGAGGAAGAAGTGTTCTCATCTTCACTCACCTTGTGCCCTTCCTCTCCCACCGCTCGCCCGCTCTCCTTTCTTTGATTTTCTTGTCTGTTGGAAACGTGGGAACCAGGAAGGAAAGTGGACAAGGGAAAGGACGAGATTGAGAAATGACAGAAAGAAGAGAGATACAGAGAGAGCGAGGGAGAGCTTCAAGCCCAGCAGAGGAAGAAGAGAGAGGAAGATAAGAGAAGGGGGCAAGGGGTGGCCAGAAGAAGCGTAAGCCAAAGCTACGTATTGAAAGGGCGGAAGCCCCATTCTCCTCTTCTTCCTCTTTGCTCTCTTGTTTTTCTCTTAGCGCAGGGCATGCATGGAGCTAGGAAAGGGAAGGGGTCAAAGCGGATGAGAGAAAGTAACGGAGAGAGCTGTTCTTCGTCCCTCTCACCTCCTCCTCTCATTCTTCTGATGCTTACTCATGTCAGAAGGGTCTGGAAAGGAGTGAAGGGTAGGGCATGGACTGAAGCGAGGCAATAGGTGAAAGTGGATAAGAAAAAGTCATAGACAGAGAGTGGGGGAAGTCGAGTGCGAAAGAAAGAGAAACGAGGAAGACTAGGAAGAAGGACACAGAAGAGGAAGCGAGAGAGTACCAGTGTTGCCGTATCTCAAAGGACTCCGGGCCTCGCGAGGGCTTTGAGGAGGCTTGTAGGCGCCTTCAGGCACTTCCACAACTTTCTGGAGGCCACCAACTTCCTCCCTAAGGGAGCCTCCCGAGGACATGAACACCAAACCGGGTATAAAGAAAGCAGGGGGATGTAGAGAAGCAGAGTGTGGTAAGAAGGAGCAAGGAGAATCAGTTCGCGTCTCCTCATCGTTTCCTCTGTGAATGACCAGAGGAAAGAAAAGGATAAGAAGGAGGAAAGGCTCTGCGAAGACATCAGGAAAGAAGAGCAGACAACAGAAAGGAAGCGGTGAGATGCGGGAAGACGGTTCGGAGAAGAAAGGAGAATTCCTCCTTCGCTCGCCTCTCTTACTTCCTTGCCCATCGCCTTCTTCCTCTTCTCTTACCCTATTCATCTTCATAAGGAAGGAGAAATGAAAGGAACGGAGAGTTCAGGGCATGCAAAGGGCACTCTTCTCATCACCTCATCCATCCTCCTTTTCATTGTTCTCTCCAGATCCCTCTTTCTCTCTCCCTCCCTTCCCGTATACTTCTGCACATTCCCTTTTCCGCTTCTCTCCGCCTATTATGTTCGCTTTGATAAAATCGCTTGCCCTATTCCTTCTCCTCCTGGCTTTCCTGCCTCCCGTCCTTCTCCCTCTATCACTCAGAAGGAAGAAGGACGATTCACAAGAAAGAAGCGTAAGCCAAAGCTACGTAATGAAAGGGCGGAAGCCTCTGTCTCCTCTGTTCTTCCTCTTTTCTCTCTTATTTTTCTCTTAGCAAAGGGCACGCATGGAGCTAGGAAAGGGAAGGGGTCAAAGCGGATGAGAGAAAGTAGCGGAGAGAGATGTTCTTCGTCCCTCTCACCTCCTCCTCTCATTCTCCTGATGCTTGCTCATGTCAGAAGGGGTTGGAAAGGAGTGAAGGCTAGGGCATGGACTGAAGCGAGGCAATAGGTGAAAGTGGATAAGAGAAAGTCATAGACAGAGAGTGGGGGAAGTCGAGTGCGAAAGAAAGGGAACGAGGAAGACTAGGAATAAGGACACAGAAGAGGAAGCGAGAGAGTACCAGTGTTGCCGTATCTCAAAGGACTCCGGGCCTCGCGAGGGCTTCGAGGAGGCTTGTAGGCGCCTTCAGACACTTCCACAACTTTCTGGAGGCCACCAACTTCCTCCCTAAGGGGGCCTCTTGAGGACATGAACACCAAACCGAGTATAAAGAAAGCAGGGGGATGTAGAGAAGCAGAGTGTGGTAAGAAGGAGCAAGGAGAATCAGTTCGCGTCTCCTCATCGTTTCCTTTTTGAATGACCAGGGGAAAGAAAAGGATAAGGAGGAAGGGCTCTGCGAAGACATCAGGAAAGAAGAGCAGACAACAGAAAGGAAGCGGTAAGATGCGGGAAGACGGTTCGGAGAAGAAAGGAGAATTCCTCCTTCGCTCGCCTCTCTTACTTCCTTGCCCTTCGCCTTCTTCCTCTTCTCTTACCCTATTCATCTTCATAAGGAAGGAGAAATGAAAGGAACTGAGAGTTCAGGGCATGCAAAGGGCACTCTTTCTCATCACCTCATCCATCCTCCTTTTCATTGTTCTCTCCAGATCCCTCTTTCTCTCTCCCTCCCTTCCCGTCTACTTCTGCACATTCCCTTTCCGCTTCTCTCCGCCTATTATGTTCGCTTGGAAAGAATCGCTTTGGAAAGAATCGCTTGCCCCCTATTCCTTCTCCTCCTGCCTTTCCTGCCTCCCGTCCTTCTCCCTCTATCACTCAGAAGGAAGAAGGACAATTCACAAGGAAGAAGACAAGGGAGTAAGAGAAAGAAAACAGAAGCGGAGAGACAATCCGAGAAGGGCAGAAGAAGAACGAGAGCCATAAGGAAACAAACACAGAAACAAAGAGAGAAAGTAAGAGAGAAAGACCAGCAAAAACATTCTTCGTCCCTCTCACCTCCTCCTCTCATTCTCCTGATGCTTACTCATGTCAGAAGGGTCTGGAAAGGAGTGAAGGCTAGGGCATGGACTGAAGCGAGGCAATAGGTGAAAGTGGATAAGAGAAAGTCGGGGGAAGTCGAGTGCGAAAGAAAGAGAAACGAGGAAGACTAGGAAGAAGGACACAGAAGAGGAAGCCAGAGAGTACCAGTGTTGCCGTATCTCAAAGGATTCCGGGCCTCGCGAGGGCTTTGAGGAGGCTTGTAGGCGCCTTCAGACACTTCCACAACTTTTTGGAAGCCACCAACTTCCTCCCTAAGGGGGCCTCCCGAGGACATGAACACCAAACCGAGTATAAAGAAAGCAGGGGGATGTAGAGAAGCAGAGTGTGGTAAGAAGGAGCAAGGAGAATCAGTTCGCGTCTCCTCATCGTTTCCTCTT